AAAAAAAAAAGCTCCCGCCCACTTTTGCCTCCCAGCCACTCATGCGGTATGACACTTAGGCTTAAACCTAGCAATCACACCCACAGCTGCACTAGGAGGGTCCACCCTTGCAGCTAATAGCTGCGGTAGTGCCAGTGTAGGCCATCGTGTGTGTTAGGGCTGGCTCTGTACACAGGTATACAAGGCACATGTTCACGATGTATGAGGTAGTGGCAGGGGGCTAGGATGTGAACAGGTGGTAGAAGGAAGGAAAGTCTCCTCTACAGTGAGGACCCTGAAAGGTTCCCAGGTTTCTCCTCTGCAGAGCTTGTCCTATATGAATCTCCATGCTGGGTATAGGGAAAAGATGGCTGGACTGTGCAGTGTTTTCCAAACTGATTTAAAAACAGAACCCTTTTCCCATGAATCATCTGGAGACACAGATCCTGAGAACACACTTTGAGAAACATTGCCATGGACAGAGCAGGTTGGAAGGAAGCTGGGCTCTGGGTTGTGAGGGGCTGTCTAGGGATAGGACATGACCCCACTCAGACTTTAGCCACCCTGCAGTGCAGATGGAGTCAGGTGCCTTTGTACCTGGGTCCCACCCCTGACACTGCCCCGCCCCCAGGTGCGTGGTGCTGAAACTGGCCAGCCTGGGAATGTTTTCCTTCTCACTGGGTCAGACCATCCTGTGCCTTGGCAGAAACAAGACCAGCTGCGAGTCTTACGGCTACAACGCCTGTGACTACCAGGTGGCTGACAGTCTGGCAGGGCTTGTCCCTCACATCCTCTGAACAGCCCCACTTCAAACCACGCAGAGCCCTGTCCCTGTCCCTGCCCCTTTAGTCTCCCTATCCTCCTTCAGGGTCTCACCATTGAGAGAATGTGTGAGTAGAGCTGCCCATACAATGGCACACCTCCAGGGGGCACCACTGCCCCAGACTGCCTTGTACAGCAGCTCTAGCTGCGGGGTTCCCTGCCCTCATCTTGTCCCTCAGGCCTGGATTTTAACTTAGCAACCACATCAGCCTCCAGGCAAGGCTCCTTCCTGTGCCACAGAGAGCCCCCATATGAGGGTGGATGAGAAATGGGAAAGCTGGGGGCTGGGGGTTGGAGGCTGACTGTCCCCTCTCTCTGTACCCAGTGCTGGGAGGACTCTGTGGGGCAAGAGCTGTACAAGCTGAGCACCTTCAACTTCCTCCTCACAGTGGCCTTCACTTTCCTGGTCAGCCTGCCTAGGAGGTAAGCCATGTGGGGGCCTGGGCATGTTGAGGATGGCCAGTGGCCACAGCCAAGGGTGAGCCAGGTCCACATGAGCAGACCATCCTCATCTGTGACCAGAGTAGCCCATGTGTACCTCCTGCACAGTGGGTACCCTGGCTTCCCCCTACTGCAGGCTGCTGGTAGAGCGGTTCTCAGGCCGGTTCTGGGCCTGGCTGGACCGGGAGGAGTTCCTGGTGCCCAAGAACGTGCTGGACATTGTGGCAGCACAGACCGTCACCTGGATGGGCCTCTTCTACTGCCCCCTGCTACCGCTGCTGAACAGCATCTTCATCTTCCTCACCTTCTACATCAAGAAGGTGCTGCTCCCTCTGGGAGAGGCCTGGGGCATGCCTCTGGGTGGGTACCCAGGGCTGGGCTGGGCTGGGCTGCCTCCGCCCCCTGCTGACCCCTGCTTGCTGCTCCCTGCCCCCAGTACACCCTCCTGAGGAACTCCAGGGCATCTCCACGGCTCTTCCGGGCCTCCAGCTCCACCTTCTTCTTCCAGCTGGTGCTGCTCTTGGGCCTGCTCCTGGCCGTGGTGCCCCTGGGCTACGTGGTCAGCAGGTGAGGGAGGGGGTGGGGAGGCACCACCCTGAGGCTGGTAGACCCCTGCCCGGGGTTCTGACACCAGCCTCCCTCGCCCATCTCTCTCCAGCGTTCACTCCTCCTGGGACTGTGGCCTGTTCACCAACTACTCAGCCCCTTGGCAGGTGGTCCCAGAGCTGGTGGCCCTCCGACTCCCACTCCCTGGCCAGCGTGTCCTCCACTACCTCAGCTCCCATGCCTTCAGCTTCCCCCTCCTCCTCATTCTCAGGTGCCTCTTGGGGCAGCAGGGAGCACATGGGAGGGAGGTCTTTTCTCCCATGAGGGTGGTGTAGGACTGGCACCCCCAGCCATTTTCATGGGATTCAGGAGCCAGCCAGGGAGAACCAGGGGAGGCAGGTGCCCAGGACCTGGGGGACACAGGTGCCTCATCTGCAAACAGGCACTTTCTGGGCCAACCTTCTGGGGTGTGCCAGGGATTGCACATGGCCAGTTGCAGAGGGACTCAAAAGCCCCAGCTTTTGCTGCTGTGCGGTGCTCAAGGAGAGGGGAGGAGGGTCCTATCTTCAGATGAAGCAGAGTGCAGAGAGAAAACCCGGCAGTGAGGTTTTTTTTTTCCTTGTTGTTGTTGTTTCGAGACAGAGTCTCACTATGTCACCCTGGTAGAGTGCTGTGGTGTCACAGGTCACAGCAACCTCAAACTCTTGGGCTTAAGCGATTCTCTTGCCTCAGCCTCCCAAGTAGCTGGGACTATAGGCGCGGGCAACAACGCCCCGGCTATTTTTCGGTTGTAGTTATCACTGTTGTTTTAGCTGGCCTGGGCCAGGCTAGAACCCGTCAGCCTCGGTATATGTGGCCGGCGCCCTACTCACTGAGCTACTAGCCCGAGCCAGCCGCAGAGAGTTTTTAAGAAACTGAGTGGGGAGAGAGTAAGTCGGGAGTAGGCACCTGTACTCCCTGGGAGAGCCTGACCTTGATCCCTCGATGCCCCAAGCCTCGTCCTGACCGTGTGCGTCTCCCAGTCCCAGGCCAATGCGAGGGCCATCCATGGGCTCCGGAAGCAGCTGCTGTGGGTGAGTGTCCGCTGGGCTGGGGAGAGGACACCCACACTGGATCTCAGGTCGAAGCAGGTCGGGTTTTTTCTAATGAGGAGCATGGCCTGAGGTTGAGGGTAAGGACGGGAAGAGGAGAGAGGGAACGGGTTCCTACGGCCAGCAGGGCCTCAGGGCCTCAGACCGGGAACCAGACTGATAAGAAGGAATGTGGCGTTAAGCTTGGGGACAGGAGCTTTAAATAAAGGCTGAAGGCCAGACGGTGACCAGGATGAGGGCATGGCCTCGGGCTGGATTAGGGCGGAGGTGACTGAGCGTGGCCTCAAAAGGTGTGGGACCCTGAAAGGGAGCAGGGCCTTGGATGCTGTCTCTGGTAGGGGCGGGATCTAACGCCCCGGCGCTCAGGCCAGCAGTGGGACCCGATGGGCGTGGCCTTGGTTGCTGGGGGAGGGGCTCTTGCAGATGTGGTCTGCGTGGGGGAACAAATGGGGCGTGGCTTCGGGTTGCGTTGGGGGCGGGCTCTAGTGGGTGTGCTCTGGGGCTGGGTCGTGGTCTGTGGGTGGGGGCGGGCTCTGGGGAGTTGATTTGGGCCCCGCAGTGGACTGTAGGGCTGCAGCCAGCTGTGGTCTTGATGGCCGCTTGTGGGAGGAGGTTCCTCACGCAACCCACCGCTAGCTCCCCTCACAGCAGGTCCAGGAGAAGTGGCACCTGGTGGAGGACCTGTCGCGACTGTTGCCAGACTCGGACCTGGGCCCCACATCCCCTCGCTCTCGAGCCTCGCACCCGCGGTCCGTCTGCCCCGGATTCCCCTGCCCAGGCTCTCCTGGTCCCAGGAACCCCCGGCCAGGACCCTTCCTCGCGGATTCCACGGAGCTGCGCTCCCCAGGCCCTCCACACAGATTCCGCTTCCCCAGCAGCGCGGAACTGTAGCGCTGACCTCTGCCTCTACCAATAGCCCCCCCCTGAGGCTGGACCTGCAGCCCCTCACTCCACTTTGCCCCACACTCCTGGTCCCTAGTGACCACCCTCTGGCAGGAGTCAGCAAAGAAGGGCATGCACCTGCTGGGGCAGCAGAAAGAACATATGGGATTTTTTTTTTCTTTTTTGAGACAGAGTCTCATTATGTCGCCCTCTGTAGAGTGTTTGACATCACAGCTCACAGCAACCTCAAACTCTTAGACTTAAGCGATTCTCTTGCCTCAGCCTCTCAAGTAGCTGGGACTACAGGCACCCACCACAACACCGGCTATTTTTTGGTTGCAGTTGTTTAGTTGGCCTGGGCCGGGTTCAAACCTGCCAGCCTTGGTGTGTGTGGCTGGCACCAAGCCATGTAGGAATTTCTATCTATGTTTTTATCTCATCTCTTTATATTGTCTGCTTTCTGTTGAATGTTTTATAATGTACACAATAAATTAGTATAGTAATCTATGAAAGCAATTTTTTTTTTTT